AATCCCGTGCCACCACCTGTCCCGCGAGTCTCCCCTGCCACCGCGACCCACCGGGCCCAGGGCAGGCCCGCCCGGCCCGCGCGCTTCCGCCCTCCGCACTCCTCCACCGTGCAGCTGCCCCGCCCTTTGCCGGACCTACGCCGCTGCCCGTCGCCTCGCCCGCACCGGCTACCTCCGCCGGAGCCGAGCTCTTCCGCCACCCGCCGCAGACCTTGCCATGGCTTCCGCGCCCTTCACCGGTGAGCGACTTCGGCGAGCTCCGCCTCTCGGATTCAACAAGTCCCCTCTCCGGCCATCTCCTCCCTGCTCCGGCCACCGCGGGATGAGCTTCGGTGAACCTCGATCCGCGCGCGTGCCAGATCTGGATCCATATCCACGGGGTTGACTTTGTTTTCCACTAAGTCCCGAAAATTGTTGCATTCTGGTGCCTCTTTTGACATGCCATAACTTGTTGCATACTGCTCCATTTCGTGTGCATGATATATCAAAATGTTCATCATGATGTGCTCTTCATTTTGTTCCATTGTGACATGCTTGTTTGAGTACATCTTGATGCCCAAATCATTGATGCAAGAGTGTTATAAAATGTTTGCTCCTGTTACTTATCAGAGTATGAGGTTTTGTCATTTTTGTCACATTTGTTGTGTGCTGCATATCAACATGAGCTCTACAAGTGTTTTCATCTATGCCATGTCATCTTTACATGGGTGGTTGGCATGTATTTTTGTGATCTTTGTGGTGACTAGCACAAGCATGCAAAGTCATTCTCCTGCTGTTATTTTTATGCCATGTATCCATGATGCTACAGTGAGACCCATGCTTGTTTTGAGTTGCTTCAGTAAGGATGGTTTTGACATATGGTTATGCTATATCCATCCAAGCCCCTGTTTGCATTTGTGGAGTGCCCTAGCATGACTTAATCTTGCTCTACTTTTGCTATAAAATGTTCCTGGCAGATTGTTTACATGTTAATCAATTTTTCCATGGTTGTTGTAGTTGATCCATCCATGCTATCAACTTGTTCTTGCTTTGGTTAGCTTCATGAGCATGTCTTCGTGCTATTGCTATGCTTAGTTTGTCATGCAAGGCTTTATGATGAGTGAATCGAGCTCGCAAAGATGCCTTCATAATTCTGTTTATGCCATACCCAGTTTTCTGCTAAGTCTGAATCTGTTAACGAAACTTGTTATGTTTACATGGGTGCCATCATATCTTCTTGCCTTTTTGGCTCATGGTCAGTAAGGGGATTTTGTTCTATGCTTTGAGTATATTCATGCCATGCCTTTGTTTGCTATGATATGATCCTGTAGCATGTTGTTTGCTGGCTCTAAACCTGGCTCCCTGATGTTAATTTCTGGCATGTTAGTATTTTCACTAAGTCCGTGAAGCTGATATCTTTTGCACTTTTGCCATGCTTGTTTGAACCTGCTCTTGTGCGATTTAGCCATAGCTCAGTGTTCATCTTTTATCAAGCATCCTGAGTAGATCACTGCCATATGCTTTGTTGCTATGTTGGAGTGCAGTAGCTTAGTTCCTTGTTGCATTCTAAATGGCATCGTGCTGTTAATCGCAGAATTGTGCCATTATTGTTTTGCTTGCCATTTCCAAACCGTGCATCCGATTCCGGTGATCTTTATATCGATTTCGACTGAAATCATCTCATCTTTCCAGCAGCACACTTGGTTTGACAATTGATGCCTTGATCAATCCTTTCCTTCCGGAGCACGCATATGCATTGCATATCACATCTCGCATATCATGCCATGTTTTGCACCATGTTGCTTGTGCATTGCACCGTGATTGATTGTTGGTCCTTTGCTTGTGTTCTTGCTTTGGGTAGAGCCGGGAGACGAGTACGTGATCGAGGAACCTGTTGAGAACGCTTACGAGGATCAAGCTTTCGTCAACTCTGAGATCTTTGCAGGCAAGATGACCATACCCTCGAAATCACTTCTATCTTTGCTTGCTAGTTGTTTGCTCTATTGCTATGTCGCGATACCTACCACTTGCTATATCATGCCTCCCATATTGCCATGTCAAGCCTCTAACCCACCTTTCCTAGCAAACCATTGTTTGGCTATGTTACCGCTTTGCTCAACCCCTCTTATAGCGTTGCTAGTTGCAGGTGAAGTTGAAGTTTTCTCCATATTGGAACAGGGTTATTGTTGGGATATCTTTATTAATATATTGTTTATTTAATGCATTTATATACTTGGTAAAGGGTGGAAGGCTCGGCCTTATGCCTGTTGTTTTGTTCCACTCTTGCCTTCCTAGTTTCCGTCATACCGGTGTTATGTTCCTTGATTTTGCGTTCCTTACGCGGTTGGGTGTTATGGGAACCCCTTGATAGTTCGCCTTGAATGAAACTCCTCGAGCAAGGCCCAACCTTGGTTTTACCATTTGCCACCTAAGCCTCTTTCCCTTGGGTTCCATGCACTCAAGGGTCATCTTTATTTTAAATCCCCGGGCCAGTGCTCCTCTGAGTGTTGGTCCAACCTGTTAGCCGCCAGTGGCCACCAAGGGCAACTCTGGGCTGGCCTACCGGAATCTTAGACAATCTGGTGTGCCCTGTGTCATGGTGGGTGCACGGCAGATGCCAAGGGGTGTCTAAAGAGAGGAGGAGGCTCGAGGGCGCTAGTGGACTCCAGAGGTGAGGTTGGCATAACTGGGCGCGGGATGCCGGACATACCCAGGTTCGGGGCTCTCTGGAGAGATAATACCCCTAGTCCTGCCAAGTGTAGTTGGATGATCGATAGTACAATGTTGCTCCTGGAGCTGTATGGAGGAGGAACGAAGCTGGCCAAGGCTTGGGCTGCTCCTTCTCTTCGGTGTTGCTATTTTGTGGCTAGTCCTATGCTTACTTGCTTTTCTCTCGTATGTGTTTTCTGCTTCCCCTCTCGCTCGCCCCCTGTCGGGGATATACCCCGCGGTATGACCCGGCTGGAATGTTAAACCGGCTGGGACTTGGTAAACCGGCGGATGGTAAACCGGTGGAGAGTTAAGATAGAGAGTCAAGATAGATGGCTAAGACAGACGGTAAACTGGCTGGTGTTAAACCGGCAGACTCTGCTAAACCGGCAGACAAGGTTAAACCGGCAGACAATGTTAAACCGGCAGACAAGGTTAAGCCGGCAGACAATGTTAAACCGGCAGACGTTAAGAAGCCCAGGAAGGGAAGTCAAAATAGTTTAAGTTAAAGTCCGAGTTGGACTCCACATGTAACCCGCCCCTTCAACATATATAAGGAGGGGCAGGGATCCTCAAAGGGGGACAAGAAAAAGGAGAAACAATCTTAGTTCTAGACACAAAGAGGAGAGCCGGTTTACGGCGACTCCCTCATGATGATAATGAGACCTAGCCTCAAACAAGATGTAGGGTTGTTACCGGATGATATTTCCCGGGGCCCGAAGCTGTCTAAACCCCTGTCTTGTGTTGTGTCTCTCAATTCCGCTCAACCCCTCTCAAGCTATCACATAGATGCGTTGGCCTCACCACTAAATTCCTAACAGTAAGGACATTTGCCATGACAATTCCATGACAGTTGGCGCCCACCGTGGGGCTGCGCACGGTGGTGAGGAGTTCTTGGAGGGATCTCTTCTAGGGGTCGAGAAATTCGCAATTTTTCGGAGGATAAAATTCCCGTTTGAAAGGATCTGCATCAGCTTCAAATTCATCAGTCTAAATTTGCAATCTTTGAGATTTGAGGTCAAGAAGAAATTAGGGTTACGCGTGATAAACATGAGCCGGCGATCCGTCGAATCTGGAGAAGAATCGATATAGAAGACCACCATGATCCGGACGTAGATTGTTCAAAAGCTACTGCAGCATGGAGGTCAATATTCGCCTATGCTATTGCGGGAAACAGACAAGAATCTTGCCGTAGCCGCCGAAAGTTGCTATAAACCGCCGAAAGCCGCCCTGCCGGATCACGACATGATCTCGTGTTTTATATTATCCAAATCAATACTATCGGATCAGTCCAACCCGGAGTCAACAGCCGTAAACCGGCTCTTCAAACCGCCAAGCCCCGGTGAACCGGCCTTCTTCTGCGCAAGATCCCGCATCATGCGACACCTGATGGCACTGCTTGCGAGCTACCTCCGTACACCTCGTCGGCCTCGCCTTGGTGCGCCTTTGGTGCTGCATCAATGCCCCAAGCCTCCGCTACATCCGGTCCCTTGCTGCAAACCGCCATGAGATGGACTCCGCTGAGCCAGTTTACAACTCTGACTGCCGCACGGCCGCGACCCCGCTGTACCGGCACCTCTCCAACCTGCCGCCGCTGAATCACCTTCACCACCAACTCACCGCCATGGTCCCTCATCAAGCCACCTGCTCCAGCCGCCGTGGCCTTGTATCGCCTCCGGCGCGAGCTATCCCTCCACCGCCATGCTCCACCTCGTTGCTTCTCCCCGGCCTCGCGCCGCCCTTGCGATGGCGCGCCTTGTCATCCTCGTGCTGGCATGCTTGCCTTCAACGCCGCACAAACGCTGTGCACTGGTCCTGGCTGGGTTACGCCTCTGCTTCGGTCACCGAGAACCGCCCACGCACAGACTCTGTCTCGCATCGACCGAGGCCCGTCGTCGTGGCTCCGTGTTACTGGCTTCAAGTCGCGTCGTCACCACTGAGCCATGCGAGGTGCCCGTCTCCTCCGAGTCACTGGCACTGCCTCCACGGCGTCGACAAGTCACCAATTTGCTACTGCCACCGCCTCAAGCTGCCTCAGTTTACCGCCCGTCCCAAGCCGCTTCCAGGGCCGGTCTCGCTATCACGGCTGCAGCCCAACGCCCTCGGCCCGGCCGCGCCTTCCAACCTGCTGCGTGAGTCGCCACTCACCAACGTACCTCTGCCACCCGCCGACCTCAATTCTGCTGAGTTGACTCGCTGGAGCTGTTGCTACCGCCTCCGCCGAGGTATTACCTGCACGCGGACGCCGATTCACCACTGTAGCTCCCGTGCTTGTGAAGATTGACTGCGCAATTATCTATAGCCCGGTGGACATGGGCTGTTTTTGTTGTGGCCTTGCCTTCGTGGCCGGTTTTTTGCTGCATGTTGCTGCCGCTCTAAATCGCCGTAGACAAAGTCATCTCGCCTCCACTACTATTGAACCACCCATAGCCTCTGCTTCTGTGGACCGGCCCTTGACGAGGTTCGTTGACCCATTCGACTCACCGCTCGCCCGCGGGCTCCAACCCGCCACCAGTCTCCTAAACCGCCGGGCGGTTTATCCGGCTTCAGCGTCAAATCCTCTGCTAACTCACCGGGCTGGTTGCCATGGAGATAGCGGTGAAACCAGTGCCTTCGCAGGAGATAAGGACATACTGCCGGTAAGCGGGCCCGACTAGGATGAGTGTGGTCTGACTGGAGGATGAACCTTGTGGCCGCCTGCCGTATGCAGAGCAATTGAAATCTCCTAATTGATAAAACCAGAGGTCTTTACGTATGTGATGGTATAGTCCGTCCGAAGAAAGATCATAGAGACAAAGCGGAAAAGCAGGCATGCAGATGTTGTACCAGCGCTTGCAACGCGCTCAATCCTTGGTGGACACACACTAAATTGTTAACCCGGGAGTCCGGTTTGCATGGACACATTAGGTTATCTGGCGGGCCCGGTTATCTAAATTTGGTTTGCACCATCAATATCATCCGATAAAAAATGCCAGGTGATATCCATCTGAGTCTATTTTATCAATACATATTATTTCCATCAGAGGACAATTACTCTGGCCTATAAATATTTTTATGCAGGGCGACCGTTAAAGGGAAAAGTGGTGGTGTTGTACCGTAGATGCAAGTTCGGCTTCACGCCATGGACGACTCGCCCGCCCGCCCTCGCGGCAGGCTCATGTATCTGTGCCAGCTTACAACATGGAGGATGCATCGCTCATCCACACCGGCTTATAATGTCGCGGCTGACTCATCTGCCGGCTGCCGCTGCCGACTCGGACATGATTGATCTTAACTTCACCATGGTGATCATCAACCCCGCAGTGGATACTTACTGGCCTGACATATCAGGTGAAATCTATCCATTATATTTTTTATTATATATTGTTTTCTTTAAAAGAGCAATTACTCCAGCTTGCAAAGTTATCTAAATGCAGGACCCTATACCGCCATATTGGTGCAAATTAAGGGTCGTCGGAAAGTTTCCGGCTTAAAAAGAAGGATTCCGGTTTAAGAATCCGGTTCAAGGGAAAGCTGTCTCCCATAAAGTTTTGAAGCTCTCAAATCCGGTTTAAGAATTTCCGATTCAAAAAGGAATTAACTTCTCGCAAGTTCGAGTTTAAAGGCCGTCAGAAAATTTCCGGCTGAAAATGAGGATTTCGGTTTAAAATCCGGTTCAAGGGAATGATGTCTCCCATAAAGTTTTCAAGCTCTCAATATCCGGTTTAAAATCCCGGTTCAAGAAGAATTTATCTCTTGCAAAAAGATAAAAGTTGCAGAAGCGGACCTGTTGCCATGATGTACGGTTCAAACATGGGTATCCCACCTTATTGGCTTATCATATTATTGATTACATGGGGGCTTCAGCTGACAAAGCGGAAGTTCTGTCCATTAATTTGACTATTACGCCACAACAAAGCTCAGGAGCTTCACACCCAAGGGGCCAAAGAGAGTATTGTTGCTATGCATAGCTCAAACATAGGCACCCATTGAGCACAGCTCACAAAGTTACTTGGGGTCTCTTTGTGTAAAGTAACAAAGAGCTTGAAAGGACCCTTGTAATTGGGTATCAACCCACGGCTTGGAAGCCTGGTGTATTCACCTAAAACTCCAGGTAAACCTGCCTTCATCAAGTAAGCCACTCCTATCCAGGTAATCCTGGCATGACCCGCCGAATGTTTGACAGTTACTCTCATAGAGACCCTGAACTTGTCAAAGTTAAAAAGACGATTGGTTAGTTGGAGGCCCATCTTAAAAGGCTTTGTCAAATTGTTTAACTCAGCGGCCTGGCAGCCATGAAAAGCCTTGAATTTGGGCCTGGCAACCCTTTAAAAGCCTCGACTACACGGTTTTATTTGCCTTTGTCAAGATTTTTTCTCTTTTGATAAATTTTATGTTGAACCCGGCGTCTCTCGACCCGGCATGACTAGCAGTCATCAAATTAATCCGGTGTTCTTTAACCCGGCTCGACTTTCAACTACAAGTTGTCAGTGCATAATCACTTATAATCCGGTGTTTATTGACCCGGCCTGGCTTTCGACTATAATTCGCCAGTATATATTTGGATTGCGGCATTGGAATCATGCGCTCATAAATCATTGGATTATATTATTCAAATATTCAAATAGCCAACATGGCTGGATTTTTATGGTTATCAATAACCAATATTATGATTGAGGTTTTCAAAGTCGCTTCAGCGCACTGGATACTATTTTATCAATAGGTATGATTTATTCCACAAAGGAATAGTCCCAAGTCGCTGCAGGCTTACGACCCGGCACTTGGGGGCTACATTATTTCAGTTGAGATTACATCAAATACACAAGTCTCATGTCGCTGCAAGCATGCACCATGACACTTTGGGCTAATGCAAAGTCATTATTTGCTCACCTTATTGAAGACCCGACTCATCACATCGTAATGAGCCGGCCCTTGGGGGCTACCAATTGCCTCTGTCAACAATTTAAGGTACAAAGCTTTTAATCCATTACATTGAAGGGTCCACTGCTCAGTTGGTAAAGCACAAGGCTCTTAACCTTGTGGACGTGAATTCAAGCCCCATGATGGGGGTTACATCATATGATGTTATTTTCATTGAAGAATATATCAAAGTCTCAGCTCAATATTATCTTACTGAGCCGACCCTTGGGGGCTACACGATTATATTTACAAAGTCCCTGCTCATTATTGCATAATGACCCGGCCCTTGGGGGCTACACTGGTTGAAGTTTTTTATGAGAATAAGGCAATTTCAAGTCCCAGGTTGCTGCAAGCATGACAACCCAGCAATTGGGGGCTACATATGTAGAATACTCAATTCTGACTAGTGATTGATGAACAACCTAGATTTCTTCAAGATTGTGATATTCATATTGCAGCAAGTCTTAAGCTGTTGCTATGCTACCTTCTTAAGAGTTGGGGGCTACAAGTGGTAGGCATATAAGAGCTATATTTTCAAGCTTCATGTTAACTACAATTATGACCTGGTGCCATCAATATTTGTAAACCGGCAATGACAAACCAGCAAGTTCAAGTCTTAAACCGGCATAGTTCTACATTCTCAAACCGGCAAGTTCTACATTCTTAAACCGGCTGCAGATCAGATGACTATTTCAAAGGCCAATATTTTTGTTAAGCATTGGGAGCTGAAGTCAAAGGAGTTATTCTTCACAATATTTATCCATGACAAACCAATGCCAGCAAATTGATTATGAAGCTGGTCTATTGACTCGGATTTTCTAGAAGGAAATGACAAGGATTTAAAGATGCTCAGGATCAGTTTAACATGGATAAATCCAAATTAAACTGGGGGTAATGTCGGGGATATACCCCGCGGTATGACCCAGCTGGAATGTTAAACCGGCTGGGACATGGTAAACCGGCGGATGGTAAACTGGCGGAGAGTTAATATAGAGAGTCAAGACAGATGGCTAAGACAGACGGTAAACCGGCTGGTGTTAAACCGGCAGACAATGTTAAACCGGCCGACAATGTTAAACCGGCAGACAAGGTTAAACCGACAGACAATGTTAAACCGGCATACAAGGTTAAACCGGAAGACAATGTTAAACCGACAGACAATGTTAAACCGGCAGACGTTAAGAAGCCCAGGAAGGGAAGTCAAAATAGTTTAAGTCAAAGTCCGAGTTGGACTCCATGTGTAACCCGCCCCTTCAACATATATAAGGAGGGGCAGGGCTCCTCAAAGGGGGACAAGAAAAAGGAGAAACAATCTTGGGGCTAGACACAAAGAGGAGAGCCGGTTTACGGCGACTCCCTCGTGATGATAATGAGACCTAGCCTCAAACAACATGTAGGGTTGTTACCAGATGATGTTTCCCGGGGCCCGAAGCTGTCTAAATCCCTGTCTTGTGTTGCGTCTCTCGATTTCGCTCAACCCCTCTCAAGCTACCACATAGATGCGTTGGCCTCACGACTAAAGTCCTAACAATAAGGACATCTGCCGTGACAATTCCACGACACCCCCGCATGATCGTGGCTCCGGGGGGGGGGGTTTATAGTCCAACCCCCCGGGGGTACAATGGTAGTCAGTGGGTCCGTATTGTCAGTGTGTGGGGACCCGGGCTGGCTCCCGCTGAGGGCTTGTGGTTCGCCGGGTTCCCCTAGGTGCGGGCCCTGCATGCCTAGGGGGACTGTGCGCCGTCTTGTCGATCGTCAGGGCGTGGCCGAGTCGAGTCGCGTACAGTGCTCTCCGTCAGGTTGCCACTTGATGTCGGTAGCAGTGAGGGCGGGGACACTGTAGCCACGCTGGCCCTGGTCAGCGGGTAGGTGAGGGGCACTGTTGCCACGTTCCTGCTGTCCAGAGGCATGGGCGGGGCACTGTTGCCACGTTCCTGCTGTCCAGAGGCATGGGCGGGGCACTGTTGCCTCGATCATCATTGATTGAAGACTCGTCCCCATCATACGGCCTGGATGGGAAGGGAGTTGACCCACGGCTAGATTGCGTAGCACGCCACGGGTGACGCTGACTTGTCGAGTAGGCTTTGGTCGTGCCGGATTCGGCTGTCTTGCGCTAGTTGTTGGGGCCGAGTCGACGTGTCTTGCCGGGTCGGCTAGTCTGGTCGGCTTGCAGGGCTTGGCTGGGTCGAGCGACCCGGCCAAGCGCGTGCCGGTATTGAGGGGCAGTGCTAACCCCGTTCTTTTTTGAAGAGGATCCGGGTTCCATTGCCTGCCCGAGGTCCATCCCCCCGACAGTAGTCCCCAAAGCTGTGAAGGTCCGCCGTCTTCGGATGAGTGGGCCTCTGCAGTTTCTCCCTTAAGCAAGGTGGATTCTGTGAGCGCCGGGTCCGGCAACACCCACTGTGTGCCGATTTTCTCGGAAACCGGATCGTGGCATCCCGGCCGCGGCGGGAGCCGAGAAGTCCGCCGAATCTTGGGGCAATCCCTCGGGCTTCGCGCGGGCGCCACGTGGTGCCCGGAAGTCGGAGGGGCCTGACAGGCCACGCGCGTGACAGGACCGGGCGACGGGCTGGGGCCCACCACCGCGTGCCCTCGTCCCAAGCGTGCGGATTTATTGCAGCGTCTGGGGGCGGTTGCTCTTCCCCGGGCAGTTACTGCGCGTGTACGTGCGCACTTATTGCGGGGTAGTGGAACGGGCGCGTGCAGACGATCCCACTTCCCCACTTCCCCACGTTGCACTACAAAAAAATACACTTCT